GAGCAGGGAGCTGAATGCGGGGCTCGATCCCAGGACCCCGGGATCATGACCTGAGCCGAAGGCAGATGCTTAATGACTGAGCCACCCAGGCACCCCCTATATTGTTTATATTTTTAATTATCTTCTTTATTTAAAAAATTTTTTAAAGGTAATTCTCAATGCCACTGTTGTCTCCAAGTAGGTAACCAAAATTAACAAAATGAACCATCTGCTCCTTCCATTCCCTTCTCCACGATATAAACATATATATAAAACATAAGGGCTTTGGGGATAATTTTTATTTTACAAGAACTGGACTATATTACTTACATTTACTTACATTTACATGTATCTTGAATTTTGCACTTAAAACATTTTGGAAATCCTGCATATCAACTCTTCTTTTTTAACTTTTGACTGCACAATATTCTAGCACTCCTTATTTTTAAGCATTTGCTTTGTGGCCATTTATTTTGCACCACAAAAAAGTTGCTACAGTGAATCCTTGGACATAAATCTATTACATCACTTTTATTTCTAGGTGTTAGATTCTTAGAAGGGATTTCTAGGCTGAGAAGTTATGTATTTCTAATTTCATTAGTTATTTCTAGATTGCTTTCCAGGAGGGCAAGTCATATTTACACCATAATGGGCAAGGGTACCTTTCCCCAAGAGCCCTGCTAGTACCAGGAGAAAACTTTGCCAGTCTCATGGGTAAGGAAAGGAGAAGGCATTTATTTGAGGATCCATTCCAGTGGTAGGGTCCGTTGATGATCTGCTGCCTCCGAGACCTCCAAGGAGGGTCTAGACTGTTCAAAGACCGACCAACATTCTGTTTAGCATCTTCTCCCTACATTTGAACACCCCACTCTCCATAACACAGTAACCATTACCCTGACATGATTCTTAGGAGATAGTATAACATACTAAAAGCTGGAAATATCACACACAATTCTCACTTCTCTTGAAAGATTGAAAACACCTTTAACACAGAGCCCACGCTGGGGTGGGGTCACCCAGTTGAGATGGCCGTGTGCCATCCAGTTTGCCATATTCCTCACCACCCCTCTTGCCTCTCTGTGGCCCCCGTGATAATTGCTATCCTTCATGGCGTTTTCCCCTTTTATTTTTAGAAGTCCATTTCATTCATTTTATACCTGCCCAGTCCCTCTAGGCAATGAGTTGGTGACTCCTGCTTAAAAATAAAACGAGATGGCAAATCCTTCAAGCAGGCATAGAGAGATTCACTAAAGAGGAGAGATGGGGAAATTTCAGGCAATTCCCCACATTTTAGCATGAATTCCACCTTCCTTTGAGAAGTTTCTCACTTTTATCTCACTTCTGTCACCACAGACAAGAGAATGATCCATGTAAGTAAAACACAAACTTTTCTAAGGAGACATGACCTGAATAGAGCTTTTGGGGAAAGAAACCTGAGTGCAGTTGTTCTGAACTGAGTTGTTTGTCAAAATCACTTTGGGCCGATTATGTCAAATGCAGGTTCCTGGGCCTTACCCTCAAAGACTTTTATTGAGTAGACCTGGGTTGGAGCTTGGGTTCTGTGTTTTATTTATTATTATTATTACTTTTTAAATTAAATTAAAATTTATTTAAATTCAATTAATTAACATATAGCATATTATTAGTTTCAGAGGTAGAGTTCAGTGACTCTGCATTTTATTTTATTTATTTTACTTTTTAAAAGATTTTTATGTATTTATTTGAGAGAGAGAGAGAGAGAATGATAGAGAGCATGAGAGTGGGGAGGGTCAGAGGGAGAAGCAGACTTCCTGCTGAGCCAGCAGCCCGATGCGGGGACTTGATCCTGGGACTCCAGGATCATGACCTGAGCCAAAGTCAGTTGCTTAACCAACTGAGCCACCTAGGTGCACCTATTTTATTTTTAAAAAAGATTTTTATTTATTTGAGAGAGAGATAGTTGGAGGGGCAGAGGAGGTAGAGAATCCTGAGGCAGACTCCCTGCTGAGTGCAGAGCTCCACACAGGACTTGATCCCAGGCCCCTTAGATCAAGACCCTGAGCCAAAATCTAGAGTTGGCCACTTAACCCAACTGAGCCACCCAGGTGCCCCTTGGGCTCTGCATTTTAGACACATTCCCCCAGTTTTTCTGCTGCAGGGGATCTTAAGAACCACATGTTGCAATGATAGCATTTACCCAAGAAGTGTCACCATGACCACATGCCCATGGCCTGGCAACCAGACCCCAAAACTGTAGACCGAGATCCAATTAGTTCCTAGTGGCCACCAATAGCCTTTTCAGCTAAGGATGGTTTTGTGGGTAATGCTCTGGAGCCCCTCTGTTCTGGAATGTCTAAGATACTTACAGATCTGGGATGGGAGATGTATAAGGAGGCATCACACACAATGCCATATCCCACCAGCCGCTCTCCGGGGAAGAGGGAGCTGGTGCTCACAGGCGAGATCAGGACCTCGGTGGTCTCGGGGAAGACCCACTCCACAGTTACATCACTCAGGACTGGGGCCATGGCCTTCTTCAGGGATTTGATCATCTGTTAGGCAGGGTCAGAACACAGGTTGGGGGCACATGTGAGCAGGGGCATGCAGAGATGAGGAGCACAGAGACCATGTGGGTATGAGCATGACGGGGTGTGAGCAGAGAAGAAGACACAATAGGCCTTGGGGTGGCTTGTTCAGCAGTGAACGTGCCTCTGAGCTTCTTAGACTACTAGAATGTCAGAGTTGGAGCAGATCTTGCTTCTCTAAGCTTAGCATTTTATAATGAGGACATCTAAGACCCAAAGAAAGTTTGTGTCAAAGCATGGACTGGATAGTGATCTTGAGCAAGTTAATTTGCCTTGCTGGGCCTCTGTTTCCTTTTCCGATAAAGTGAGTTAGTAATTTTCAACTCTCAATGTAGTTGGGAGGATTAGCTGAGATACTGGATTTGAAGTCGCTGCCTCATGATAGGTGTTCAAATAAATGACAGCTGTGGTTTTGCATCACTTAGGCTGATTTCTTCAAATGTACTGCAGAGCCGGAGAAAAATGATTTGGGGATTGTGCAAGCCATAAGGGTGCACTCCCAGATCCCCCTTGGAGGAAGACTGTGTCCTTTTTCTGCAAAGAATGCCATTAGGTGATAGTCTCCAGATGCAGCCCCAGCTTTCCAGCCAAGACCACACCTCTCTCTGGAAGCCCTCAGGCAATGACTGAGCACGGCAGGGATACTAGTGTTGGCATTCCAGCCCAATTTGACTACCTAATGGGTGATCTTTGCTCCAGAGCTCCCTGTTGGGTTGGCTGAGACCTTGCCAGACTCGCAGTCTGAAGCTCTCCCTGCTCAATCCTTTCACGGGTATGCATGTGCATTACGGGCTGAAGAGTTCTCCTTCCTGCTTCTTCCTCTTTTTTCTTTCACAGACATTATCCCCCAACGAACCTCTTGTAGTTATGAGCTTCTTAAAACCTGCTCTGTCTCTGCTTCCTGGAGGATCTGGACTGACCCAAGGATTTTTTAAGAGTTCGGTTATTAGTGCCAACTGTGCAGAAAATGGAGAGATGACTACAATCTCCTTGATTTCTGGGTCCTTTAGATGCTTCTGAGCCACCATTTGTCATCATCAGGAATGTGGCCGGAAATGACCCCCAACACAACTCCAGATCCATAGAGGCAGTGACTCTTTCAGAAGTCCCAGTCCTGCCCAGCCAGTGGATGGAGCATGTGATCCAGTGGCTGGAGACCAGTGGATCTAGTGTCCTGTACTAACTCCAGGAGTTGCCTGCTCTGTGGCCTCTACCTCTCTGATTCTCACTGGGGTGTATAGTGGCCTAGTGGGGAGCTTAGACTTGGATGAAATGAAATCTCAGCCCCATCACTGAGTTGCTGTATGACCGGTCTGGGCCTCTGAGGTACCAGCACCAAAGAGACTGAGCCCCTTTCTCCTACCTTGGGTTGGAGCCGTTCTCCCTCCACCAGGAACTCAGCACTGCCCTTGGACACAGTTGCCAACCCTCTCACCAGTCTGTGGCAGACGTTGGGTCCAATTCCAAAGCTGTAGCACCTGGGGGAAGGGGAGGAGAGAGGGTGCTATTTCCCACCCTCTGTGTCCTCTTTGTCCCTTTGGTGGGGAAAGGGACAGAGCATGATCCAGCAGAGCTATCTTAGAGCTGATCCTAGCATCAGGCAGAGGGTGAAGGAGAAGGCAGAGGGCCATCAGTGGGCACTCACATTCACAACAGCCCATTAACTCCCACCCCAGGACAGAGTCAGAGCAGCAAGAAGGACTTCCTCCACCTAGGCTGCCCTTTGGGAGCTATATGCAGAGGTATGGTGTTATCTCATCCCACCTGAACTCTTGAGGGAAAAAGGCAAACTTGGAAGTTAGCTACACCACCCTAGAAAACAAGCACTGTAGGAACTGGAGTTCTCTCCTTTCCTTCTGGCATTTTCCATGATGCCCCACTTCCGGCACCCCCCAGCCCAGGGCAGCCCAGGATAACCAAGGCCTAGACCTTCAGCCTGTGCCCACCTGGTGGAGAAGGCATGGTTTCGCAGCAGTTCTAGCACCTTGCCGGTGTTGTTGACGGCACCATCTGTGATCAGGAAGAGAAGCCGTGGGTGGCCTCGGCGCACTGGCTGCCGGATGATCCACTTGAGCGGGGAAAGAATGTTCGTGCCACCCATGTCAGCACGCATTGTCTGGATGTTATCACAGGCCATGGCCACGCTCTCCTGCAGGGAAGGGTCATGGACAGGGAAGATAGCCCCTAGCATCACCATATGGCACCAAGACTGTAAGCCCCCTGGAGGATGGATCTTTTGTTTCCCTAGATCTTAGATCCATGGATCCAGGGATGCCTTGGATCCATGCACAGGAGGAACGGATGGCCACTCATCTAGTGTGATTCTGCCCAATAGCACCCCCTATGAATGCCCTAAATGCTGTTCGTGGTGTACTGACTTACCACTGTCCTTTCTTTGCTCCTCATTAAAAATATAAACACCCCTGGAAAAGGCAGCACATCAAGCTCCAATTGCTCAGTACAAATGAGTGTCCTTTTCCGATGAGCGAGGCAGGAGGTGTAGTGGTAAGACCATTATACTAGAAATCTTAAGACTCAAGTTCTGGCCTGCCTGTGTGCTAATCCCTACAGTACTTTGAAGAAATCATGTGCCCAATGTGGGCTTCAGATTCCCTTCCTCCTGGATCAACACTGTGGAACCCAACTGGCCAAGGACTCCTGGCACCAGATGGACATCAGATGTTCTGCTCCTGATTCATGAAGATGCTCTTTCAACACCTGTGCTTGGGATAATGGCATCTATCAAAAATCTTGAAATGGATATGTACCTTTTGAGCCAACAAGACTAAGGATTTATCCCAAGGGAATCATTAAGGATGGGTGTGGAGTCTTCGCTACAAAGATGACTGAAGAGAAAAATATGGAAGCAACTGACATGCTCAACTGTAGGGATTTAGTTCAATAGGTCCTGATTGATCCGTGTAGTGAAATACTAGGCAGCCATTAAAATTATCTTGCAGATTAATGTTACTGACACGGAACTATGCTCATGATAGGCTGTTGTGTTAGAAAGTAGGTTACAGAATGGTATGGCCCGTCTAATCCTATCGTTATTAAAAATGTATCTCACTAATATGTGGAATTTGAGAAAAAAGACAGAGGATCATAGGGGAAGGGAGAGAAAAATAAAACAAGACGAAACCAGAGATGGAGACAAACCATAAGAGACTCTTGATCTCAGGAAACAAACTGAGGGTTGCTGGAGTGGAGGGGTGGGTGGGAGGGATAGGGTGGCCTGGTGATGGACATTGGGGAGGGTATGTGCTATGGTGAGTGCTGTGAATTGTGTAAGACTGATGAATCACAGACCTGTGATACCTGTGTACCCCTGAAACAAATAATACATTATATGTTATTAAAAAATAAATTAAAAAATGTGTGTAAACACATAGAACAAGGTCTGGAGGGATTTATACTGAGCTTGTAATGGTGGTCTTTTTTTTTTTCTGATGTGATCATGGGAGACTTTTTAATTTTTATTTTTGATTATCCGGATTTAGAAATTGTGGGACAATCAATATATATAATTTTTGTATTTTAAAAACCTATAAAGTTATTTTTCATTGAAACGTGTTCTTCCTTTCTCCCTCCCCTCCCTTACGTTCTTTCTTCCTGTTCCTAGACCTGGACAGGATATGCTCCAGTTGTGAGTGTGCTGCTGGGGCCCCAGTCCTCTTGTTCTAAATTGTAGTTTGAGCCTTGTGAGTTCTATTCTTAGCCCACCTCCCCACTTATTCACTCTGTAACCCCTTACAATTCTCTCCTTTAGTTCAACCTTACACGAGTCTATCGTTCTCTTGAAACAGAAGCAGGATATATCCTCTCTCTACCCCTTCCTTGAACCCCCTCTCCGTGCACACCCATACTATGCCCAAAATGGTCCTTATTTTAAAGAGGAGGGATGTCAGAAGACGAGATGTCAGCAAATGGCCTACTCAGAGACAGCCTCTCTAGTTCTCTGCTGTGGGCATCATTGAGTTTCCACAGGGCGTGTGGGCGGCAGCTTCTGAGGCAGGCCTCAGGGTTACCCACACTTTCTTTTTCTTCTTTTCCTCTGCTCCTCACCACCCACCCATTCTGGACCCAGCCCTGGCCCCTCCTTACCTCACTGTAGGTCTGACTGGAAGGGAAGAGGGTCTTAAATGTGGATCCAAACCCAATGACATTGAAGAGGCAGGCTGGCATGAGGCTCTTTAGAGCCACCAGCATGGCATCCTGGCGGGCGAGAGAGGGATTTTCAGAGCTCTGGAAGGAGTTACTGGCTGCCACCACCCAGCAGTATTCTTATCCCAGCACAGAAGCAGCCTCCAGACGGGCTTTCACCCCACTGCCCGCACCCAACAGTAACTTCTCCCTCAGATCAAGAAATTTGCTGACAGCAACCAGAGGCTGGACCAAAGCCATCATCATAAAACTTCTCATCCGTGTAGCAAGTCCAACTTCTCAAAGCCCTTCTATTATGCTTGCCAGTTCCATTTCACCTCCTGCTGACCCTGAGAGGTTAGAGAGAGCAGGGAGCATCCACTCCCTTCTGCAGAAACGAAATCGACATCTAAGGGAGGCACGTGGCTGAGCCGGGGGCACACTGTGGGTGGAACAGGCTTTCATCCAGGCCCTTCTGCATCCTATGTGCCCTACCTAGGGTTGACTCTCTAGTTAACAAGTCTCTTAGGGGCAGTCTCTTCAGCTCATATTTGTAAAATGCCCAGGAGATACTTTACATGCATTACTTCATCTTTCCATGACCTCGCCATAACAAAAGGGGGATCTGGAGTAGAGAATCTGTGCAGTCTCCTCTCTACTGTAAAGAGGCATGGATGTTTGCATCCTCACCATGACTCTTTAGGCAGGCACAATATTATCCCCATTTTATACAAGAGAAAACTGAGGCACAGAGAGGTGCACTGACTCATTGGTGAGCATTCTGAGAGTAGCGCCCCCAAAGTCTGGGAACATTACAGAGTCCTAATCGGCTTTACCATGCAACACCAGGAGCCCTTGATGAGTTCTGTTGAAATGAATAAGCACAAAGAGGAAAGGTGGAGGAGATGGTGGGAGGGATGACGATGATGACGATGATGACGGTAGCACCAGGCAACAGTAAATCTCAAGCAATTACTATGTGCCAAACCCTGTGCTGAGCACTTTCTATTAATTATCTCATTTAATCTCTATGACATGTGTTACAGCACAGTGGATAAGAAGATACATGTTGAAGTTAGCCATCTGTGGGTTTAAATCTCACTTTTATCATGACTAACTTGACCCTGGACTAGTTAGGTCACCCCTCGGAACCTCACCTTGGCATGTAGTAAGCATTCAGTGAATGGTTACCATCACCAACCCAATGAGAAACGTATGAATAGCAACTTTGCTGTTTTACAGATAAGGAAACTGAGGCTCAGAAGGTTAAGACGTTGCACTGGATCACAAAACTTAAGAACAAGACAGCTTTTAAAACATAGCTCCCGAGATCATTATTCATGTTGGCTCTCTGCCGTGGCACAGAGCTCGGGAATGAGGGGCTCTCCCTCGTCCCCAAGTAGCTTATTGATGGCACCCCGGGGATCTCAGCATGACTTCAGAGAGAAAAACTGTTTGTGTTCCAGAATCTAGAAGGAAGCAGTTGCAACTGGATCTTGGCATCTTCCACAGCATACAGCCTTGCAGGCTCCACAGACCTGCAGCCCCTCTCCCATCCCCCTCTGTAAACATCGAACAGTAACATCAATGTTCCCTCATCTCTTTTTTGCCCATGTCAATACATTTTGTTTCTCTACAAAAAAAGTCAGTATCTCCTTATTTTTTCATTAGCCACTAATGAATATTCCTGCTAGCAGGAGACTCTGCTGATCCATACAGATTGTCTCTGCTCACACCTATTAGAGTTTTAAAACCATGTTTTTGGCAGCCAGTGGTAGCTGGAGAATGAGACCAGCTGCAGGAGATTAAATTGGCTGAACTTTCCCCCTTTGTGTGGCTGTTCAGATCTCTATTCTCTCCCACCTTCCTAAGCCTAGTTTTTCCTAAAACAGTCTACCTAATGGGCCGCAATTAATGACCCAAGCAAAACCCGCCTATGGCCTCATTGCCAGTGGGGAAAGGAGTGTGTGCCCTGAGTAATTTCTGCACCTTTCTCTAAAAGGGGGCATGTGTAGCAGAATGGATTGTGCCAGGGCAAAGCCATTTGTGAAGGGATGACCTTGAGCTCAGTGAGCTGAACTGGAAAAGAGAGCAGGAGAGACTCCAAAGGGGAAAGGGACTGAGAGGAGAGCCAGAGGGAGTTATTGTCTGAACATTCTGGAAGGTAAAGGTTGGAAAGGTCTTTAGTTCAGGAAATGGATTTCCATTCATAAACTAACTCCATTTAACTGGTAGTAACAGCCTGGAACCCAGAGATGACAAGGATATAGAGAATGAGTCCAAGCTCAGCATGAGAAAAAATGCCATGGTCAATTATTGATGTCTGTCTGGCCTTGGGAGAGGGGAACAAAGGGACATGTGACATATGTTTGCCCTTCCTGAATTAATCTTTCCTTCTCATTTTATAGAAAGGATAACTGAATCCCAGAGGTGAGAAGCAACTTGTCCAAAGCCACATAGCAAGTCAGTGGCAGAATGATCCCCAAACCCTGCTATTGCTCTTTCTACTAAGCCATGCAGCAGAAATGACATAATCAGAGAAGAGAGCTTTTCTCAGTAGAGAGGTATTATCATTCCCTATCAGCAGGGTAAGGAAAATGAGCACTGATCCAACATAGGGAAGGCTTTGATTTCCTCATTAGCTCTGTGATGCTGGGGAAAACACTTGGTCTCTTGGGGACTCAGTCTCCTTACCTGGAAAATGGAAGGGAAAATGGATTAAATGCTCTCAAAGAGAAATCATAAGATCCCATGATACTTGAGAGTAACCGAAGAGATGTCTTACAAATTGATACAGCTATGGAATGAAATACACATGGCCACAACGGCCTGGAGTGTGCTTCAGCAGGACTATGGACAGCTCCCCAGTCTAATTCTTGCCTTTGATGGAGGGCAGAGGTCGGGAGAAGGTGACAACCAGTCCTGCACCTCAGTGTCAAGAGGCTTCAAATGGGAACTTTGGTCTCATACATGATTGCTCAGTCATACTTCAAGACTAAACCTGGTCATAGCAAGCCCGAGGAGATAGCGGGTATCACAGATCCCACCCAACCCCTCTCCTCCTTGTCAGTCCTGTTGCCCTGGAAACAAGAGTTTTCTCCAGGGACAAACTAGGGGGAGGGATGAAATTTCAGGTGGCAGCAGAGCCTTCTAACTTCTTATTCCCGCATCCTTCATTTCCTTGAACTATGCGCCTTTACCCAGTTCAATAAACAGCGACTGGGGGCTTTTTATGCATAAGTACAGAGCCGGGCTCCATGGGGAGAGATAGATGAGAAAGATCTGGTCCTTTCCCTTAATGAGTTCATAACTCCAGAGGAGGAGACACCACATCCACACAACCAAAAATACCAAGAAGAGCTAGACAATGCCATAATGGAGGCGAGTAATCTCCTGAGGGAGATGAAACACTTCTGGATACACAGGGAGGAATGTTTATCACTCTTCTGCACTCCTTCAGAACTTCCCACTGCAATGAGGCCATACTCCCAGCTATGGCTGGTTAGCTGGGCTGCCCCCTTGCTTGACTGTGAACTCCTGGAGGGCAGGAACTATGTTTGCAACCTGCTGTTTTTCCAGACGGCCAAGCACAGCGCTTTGCACATATTACACACTTGAAAAAAAAAAAAAGAATATTTCCTACTGGATTATACACACTCGTTAAGGCCATGTGCGATGAATCTCTGATGTCAGGTGGCAGGAACAGACAGACAGGAGTTTGATCTTAGACCACAGCAGCTGTGTGACCTTGGGGAGGTTACTGAAATTTTCACAATTGGCTTTCCCATGTGGAAAATGGTGACAATAGGGCCAACCTCACAGGATTATTGTCCGGATTAAACATCAAGCTGTGCATTAAGTGGCTGGGTTGTATCTGATACATAGTAAGCTTCAGCAAATGTTGGTTCCTTCCTCTCTTTTCTGGGCCCCTCTCCACTCAGGATCTAGTGAGGTGTTTCAGCCAGAGCAGGAACTCAACAAAGGTTTGCAGAGTGCCAAGGAAAGCTCTAGATGATTTTATCCCTTGGACAATAGTTCTACCTCCGTTCATACCACTTCAAAGTTTTATTTTGGGAACAAGTTGAGTTTGGGTGTCTCTGTTCAAACTGATTTTAAAAAGTTAAGTTGTTCCTTGTAGTCATGGGCAGTCATTGAGGGAAATAGTTCAGGTGTGGAAGGAGAGCTGCTTGGAACACAAGAGTACTGAGGAAGCTGGCTTGGGGGAGCACAGCTGATCTACCCTGGAACCCTAAGTCCTGGGTGGGGCGGGGGTCCTCTTACAGGTACCTTGACGCGGTGGATGTTGGTCCCACTCATGCTGCCACTCCGGTCAATGAGGAAGATAAACTCGCCATGGGTCTTTCTCAGGTTCGGCTGGACTGACTGGAGGTCAGGGCAGAAGTTGAGCATGATGACAGAATGGTGGGGAATGTCCTTGTGGAGGCGTTTCCGGATGATTTCTGTCTGGAGGAGAAAGGAAAACTCTCACTTGGGCATTCCAGGGGTCCAGAGCCGCTCCTGGGGGCTCAAGCTGGTCCCTGCATTACTCACCAGGCTTTGTCAAGATCCCACTCACACTCTGCACAAGAGAGTCCCAGGTTGACTGCACCTGGCTCTTCTGTGTGTTAGACTTTCGCAGTTGCATGGACTTTGGAGGCAGAAAGACCGGGGTTTAAAATCCCAGCTCTCACCATCCAGCCGTGTGATCTTGGGCTAGTCCCTCCTCTGGGTCTGTTTCTTCATTTATAAAATGGGGCAAATGACGTCCCCTTTCTAGGGCCACTAGAGGATGACCCTGAGCAGGAAGTCCCCGCATAGGTACAGGCTGGAAGGCGTCTCTCTGGCTTTCACCCCCAGTGTCTAAGCCACTCTCTGGCTCATCTCCCCTGGGCTTACTGATTCTGATTCTCTCCCTCTGCTAACTTCCTACTCATTCTTCAGATTTTACCTCTTTAGGAAACCTGCCCCCATCTTTAGGGTGGACCGACTAGCTTCCTCCTCCGTGGTATGAAGACAAGAGTACCTATCTCACCGAGTTATATGGACTCAGTGCAATGCTTGTGAAGCCTGCTGCCTGGGACAGAGCAGCTGTTTCTGAACAGGATCCACCATCACCAAACCCTCTGGGGTTTAACTTAGAGCCCCGTACAGAGATGGGCTCCTAAACATTAAAGGGATGACGGGACCATAGTTCTTTATCTATTTTTGCGTGTTCTTTTCGCTGGCCCTGGCAAGCTGCTGCTGAACGTTGCTTCTGGACGCACCCACGCGCGCTGCGCCAAATCTCATTTCCTCTGTCCTCACTCTGCCCCTCTCTCTCTCCCTCCACTCCGACTTCCTCTCTCTGTCTCTTTATCTGACTGTGTCTGTGTACCTGTGTCTCTGTGTCTGTTTCTCCGTTTTTATTGGATCCCCTTCCTCAACTCAATCGATGACATCATCATGCATGCAGGTGTTCAAACCCAAGACCTAGGGGTTGTCCTTGGTTCCTCTCTGTCCTCACCCCGTACATCTACCATTCAGCAGAGGACCATTAGTTCTGCAGCTAAGATGTGTTCTGAATGTGTCTTCTGCTCTGTCTCCACCACCACGACCCCAGTGCAGGACAGTACCGTCTCTTGTCTAGACCCTGAGTGTCCTCTTTCTGTCACTTTTTTCTCCCTGTGGTCTATTCTTCTTTTTTTTTTTTTATTTCACTTATTTGAGAGAGAGAGAGAGAGAGTGCACAAGCAGGGAGAGGGGCAGAGGCAGAGGGACAAGCAGATTCTCTGCTGAGCAGGCAGCCAAAGGCGGGGCTCGATCCCAGGACCCCAAAATCATGACCTGAGCTGAAGTCAGACGCTTAACCAACTGAGCCACCCAGGCGTCCCTCCCTGGGATCCCTTCTACATAGAGCAGGGAGTGTGATCATTCTTGTCATCTTGTTGTTTAAACAATAGCTTCCCCTCATACTTTGCATCATGGTTATGAGACTCCCTAATGCCTGACCCCTGCCTACCTGTCCACCCATCTTTGCCCACTCTGCTCCTGATACTTCAACAACACCAGCCACCTGTTTCCCGAACATGTCACCATTGTCCTGCTTCTAGTTCTGGGCACAGTCATCCATTCCTCACCACTCACCAGGTCTCATTCTCAGACAGGCTTTTTCTAAACCCCAGGCTAACCAGCATGCACACTTATCACTTATTATCATATTATCCTGCTTTATTTCCTTCATGGTCCCCAGCCCTCTCCACACTCATCTAGCTCATTCATTTACTTGTCTGTGTTATAATGTAAGCTTCACGAGAACAAGGACATGTTATTTTTAGTGTTGAACAGAGCAGACATCTATTAGGGACACAGTATTGGTTGAATGAATAAAGGAGAGGATGAATCTGTGTAGGTCTTTTTATCTCCCACTGACCTATGTGTGCATCTCTGGGTTTTTTTTTCCCCCCAGTCTCTCTGTCTCTACTTGTCTCTGCTTCTCTCAGCATCTCTGTCTCTTGTACATGGTGTCTTCCTCTGTCATTTGCCCCTCTTTGCTAAATCACAGCTTTGGACAGCTTGTCACACCCACTCTTCCTGACTGATGTTCACCCTCTGGATGCCTGCCTCCCTCCCTTAGTGAGGGATCGCGCTCTCCCTCCCACATGGAGCTCCTTTGCCCAAGGCCACTGCCCAGCCTGGCTCACTGGAAGACACAGCCCAAGGTAGCAACAGCGACATCTGCTGATGAAAGGAGCCCTTCTGGGAACCTGATTTTTGCCTCTCAGAGAGGTGGCGTGGGGGCCCTGGCTCGGGATTCTCCAGTGTCTCCTCCAGCTGCCCTTACCCAATTACAATAAACTCATCACTTCTTAGCAGCTTTGGGTGATCCCTATCATCCCTGGAGCTCATGAGAATACAGGGTATTTGCATAACCGACCGAAGGTGGCAAATTCTCATTTGCTTCAGCAGTCCCAGATCTAATTGATAAGTCTTGGCAGGCAGGGGAGACAGCCCCAGGCCTGGGAGCCCCACTACCCCCACCCCTGCCCATGTGCTATAGTTCTCAAAGCTCAGGGGCACTCCCGCTCTGAGAACCTCGCCTCACCCAGCCTCTTCTCCCAGTTGACTCATCTGGGTGAGAGGGCCCTTCTGGGAAGGCAGGTGTTTCCAGTGGTGTCCCTAACATGGGATGATATGGGTCGTGAGCTACTGACCCTTTCCCTTTGCTATCCTTCCTACCTCCCACCAGGCCCTCCAGTGGGATGTCCAGCAATGGGAATGACGTGAGCTGGAAGCAGTCTACACATTCCCATACCTCCCCCCTCTGCCGTGGTCCTCCACCAGTCAGGGAGGGGCTCTTAAATCCAGTGAAGCTGCCCCCCAGGATTGACTCTAAGTGCTTAGCCTCATGTCACCAAAGTCAACTCCCAAAAGAACGGTCTTCCCCTCCTCCCAGCTCACCAGTTCTTTTGGGGTGCTAAACCTCAGTGTTCTCATCAAAAACGGGGAGACCAGAAAAAGAAGTGTGCCATTGTTCTTAAACCTGCCTTGGCCTTCAGGGCCTGGCTTGGTGTGCAGAGCCATGAGCAGGAAAGACTGCTGGTGTAACTTGCAGCCGGTGTCCCAGCCTCTTACCAGCCTTCCCCAGCCCACCCCTCCCCTCCCCTCTGCTGAGGCCTCCTCATGCTGGCACTTCATGGGGAGGGCGCGGGCCGAGAAAGGGTCTTCTTCAGGCTTTCTCCGCTCTGCCTTTATTCTTTACATAATAGTAGCAAGGATCTCAGAGGAAGGACGAGCAGGACACCCTTTCAGCAGGTGGGAAAAGGGAGGCCTAGGGGTAAAGATTGGGCTGGGAGGGCACCTGCCTGTAGGGTCCTGGGGGTCCCCTGGGGTGGAGTAACCTGGAGAAGACCAAGGTTGTTTCTGCCACCGGCCTAGAATGTCACCTGGCTTAGGCCTCTTGGTGACACCAGGAGAAGGTGGCCTGGCAGGAGGCGGGAGGACAGGGTGCCTGCTGCATCTGGATGTCCATCTTCCCAGCGGTGCCCCAGCCCACTGAGGGAAACACGGACGAGGATCTGCCACCAGCTCGCTGTGGGAGTGACCAGGCAAACCACCCCCTTCCCCTGCCCAGTATCTTCATTGGTTCAGTGATGCCCAAGTGCCCAGTGTCACCCCACTTCTGCCACCACGGACTCGGTCCCAGCCACCCTCACCTGTCTCTCTGCCCTGCTGTCCTTCTTCATCCCTTTAATGAACTCCGTTCTTCCTTTCAAGTACTGCTCAAACTCTCCCAGGGTCATGTCCCCTTTCTCCATCAGGACGTGTGGCATGTGGGGCTCTGCAGAGATGAGATGAACTCTTGGCACTTGTCCGAATTGAGGGCAATACCAGGGACCTTGGTTTAGGAGCAGGATCTTCAGGGTGGGGAGGACTCCCAACTGGAAGAGGGGGATAGATCCCTGACTGCCTGGAGGGGTGGGGGGGCCTTAGCTGGCAGGCAGGAGAGCCTAATGGTCTCAGAGAATTCACTACCCCTCTCTGGACCTCAGTTTACCCATCTGTAAAATGGGAGAGAGACCAGGTTCTGATCTTTTCAGATCCTGACATTTTATGAATCCTTAAAGAGACAAAAGAGTTACTCTCTGAGTGTTCAGAGCTGGGAGGGCCTCATTGAGCTTAGGATTTCAAAGGTCATCTGTTCAGCTGCCTTGGAGGCAAAGTACCCTAATGGGTACCCCGAGGTCTCTGGAGCTAGAATCCGGGCACTCAGCTCTGCCAGCTAGAGTCATGTTTCCAGGAGCCACGTAGTTGGTCTCCTCTCTCTGCCACACCCCCCTGCGCTCTCCCTGGCCTGGCCACTGGACGAGGGGCCATGTGTCTGTGCCCCACGGGATCAGCATGTCTTCCTCCCCACAGGCCTCCCAGGGGCCCCGCCTGGTGCACCGTACCACTGGGGTGGATGAGGATCTCCACGGGCCGGTCGAAGGTATGCCTGTTGGCCAAGGTGATAATGATGCTCTTGGCCGATCGCGCAGACGGGGCGGCGTCGGCCCGGATCTCGTGGGTGGGACTCTCCACCCCTGTGTGGAACAGAAAGGCGGAATAGGCTCAGCAGTCTTGGGAGAAATAGGGGCTCAGTGGGGGGAACATGGAGACCCAGGTCAGAGATGAGAGGCTCCTGACTTGCTGTGTAACCACGGACAGGCCTCCTCCATTCCCCGCATCTGCAAAATGGGGGCTTAGACAGATGGTGTCGATGGCCTTTCCTGCCCCGACCTCAGGATCCACTGGGGTCAAAGGGTTGCTTCCTCTTAGGGCACATAAAGAAAGAGCTCAACGTTCGGATCGCTGGGCACTCTGTAAATGCCTTTTGTGTTGGAACATCATGCTGCTCTGGGAGAACACTCATTGACAAGAAACCATGTCCTTGTATCCCTTTAAAACCTTGAGTGGGCTGGGGATGGGAGCCATCAGAACAATGGTCCCCAACTCTGCCTGCACATTAGAATCACCTGGGAGCTCTGAAATATTCCAATCCCCAGGACATACCCCAGACCACTGTCATCAGTAGTCTGGGTGGGGTCTGGGTGGCAGGATTTGAAAGCTCCCCAGGTGATTCGACCATGCAAGGTAAGAACCAGGAAGCACCTCTGTGCCTGTTTCCTCTAGGAGAGGACCAAGGATGTCCATGCCCCCATGGACATCGCCCCACGGGAGCCATTGAGGTGGGTATGGGAATAGTCTTGAAACCTGTCCTTGGGAGGGGCTCATCATTGGGCCACATGTTGGGGGGCATGAACTTCAGGATGTCTTCCATCTGGGCAGGACCACTTCCCTGCCCTCCCCTTCCTCTCTATCCCTGGCAGCTTTTGGCCCAAAGCCCTCTCCACTTTGGGGCCTCAGGCTCGCCAAATCCAGGGGATCTGGGCAGCTGTGTCTCACCTGCGAGCAGGCAAGGCCCACGAATCTCCAGCTGGAAGCTGAACTCGTATTCCATGGGGTTGGACACATCGGTGTCCAGGAGAGTCGCCAAGCACAACTTGCTCCAGGGGTCCAGGGCGCGGGTGCCAAAGCAATGCTTGTCTTTGCTGGGAAGGGGGTGGAGAGGAGGAGGAAGGGGAGGAGGAGGAAGCAGGGGGCCAGCGGAAAGACGGAAGAAGATGGTGAGCCCCGGGCAGCCCTGGCAGCCCTGCAGCCCAGCTCTCAAGGGGGCTCACGAGCTTCCTCCCACCTCCCACCCTTACTCTGCCTGCCACGCCACATGCCTCCAGGGAGGGCCCGGACTCCGACGTAAGGCGCAGCTACCTGGTAGGCCTGGTGCCCCCTACCAGCGGCGCACGTTCTCACCAGCGCCCTGAGAAGAGGCATCAGGGCCCTCATCTCCCCATTTCCCACATGGGAAAACAGAGGCTCCACGAGATGTGGCGGCTACCCCAAGTTCCTACAGCTAGGACTTGGCAGAGAGTGCGTCCTTGCCAGGTCAGTCTGGCTCCACAGTGAAGAGGTTAACACCACATCACCCCATTTCTTGGCTCCCTGCCCTTCTCTGTGAGCTGGGAGCCCCTGCACAAGCCACTTCTCCAAGCCTCAGTTTCCCATCCATGAAATGGAGGTAATAATGAGGTGCCTTGAGGGAGTGCCCTGCTGAAGGCTCAGGTTTCTGGGCTCTCTTTCTGGGTCATCCCCACCCTGTCTCGGACGGACCCTGCTCCATCCCCCTCCCCCAGGGCCACACCCTTCTGTCCTGAATGGCATTCAATCACTTCCTTTGTATCGCTCACTGCTGTGTTTCTGAGCTCCATCTATGTGGCGGTCTGCAAACCAGCCTTTGCTGGGACATGGTATCACTTAGGAGCATCTGTTATCTCGGACTTATTTCTTCCTGCCCGCCCTGTGTCAACAGATAACACCGCCATGAAGATCCTCATCTGCGTCCCTTTTTTGGGCTTAGGAAAGAATTTCTCTGGGGCTCCTGGGTCAAAAGCTTGTGTGCTGTCTTTAACCTGCTGACATTGGCACAACCGAGCCTTCTGTGTCTGAGAGGCAGGGCCTACCAGGGCTGGGGACATTCAAGGCCTCGGTGGGTCCAGGAACGAGAGGCCTGGGAGGCCCTGAGAAGCTTTTTCCTGCCCCCCTCCCGGCAGGCGGAGTGAAACAGATGCTCTCGAGAGAAGCAGGTAGCAAATCCCCATGAACCTCAAAGTCGCTCAGACAGAGTGACACAAGAAAAAATAAGAAGCATAGGTAATACCAAGTGCTAGTGAGGAGGAGGAGAGAAGGAGACTCTTCCTTCCGCTGGTAGAAGTGGAAACTTACCAGCCTAGAAAGCAACCTGGCAATACGCAGCACGCGTCTGGTGTTCCTGGTCTGACATTGGCTTGTGCCGCCTGCTTCTCTGCTGTGCCGACAAGGTGTCCTCGCCCTAGGCTTCAGGATCCTATAATCGGACTCCCCATCATCCCTCTGACCTCTCTCTTTCCTGCTCCTATGCTGCTATAGCCATATTAGCCTTCTTGCTGCTCCCCCAACCCACCACACCCATTGCTGCCTCAGGGCCTTTGCACTAACCACTTGCTCTGCCCTCTGCCCAGAATGTTCTTCCTCCAGCATATTTCCAGCCTCCCTTTCTTTAGATCAGGCTTCAAATGTTGCCTAAGCCTAGTCTATTTGAGCTAAAATAGCACCCAACCGCACTCTCTCCTCCTCTAGCCTCTATGCTATGAAGCATTTAGCTTCACGGAACTCACCTAACATATTACATGTCATGAGCTTATTTCTTTAGTCTGTCCCCATGTCCCCCCACCCCCATCAGAATGCCAGCCCCATGAGGGCAGGGACCTTGTCTGTCTAGTTTACTGCTGTATTCCCAGCACCTGGAACCTTGCCTGGCACCCAGGAGGTGTTTAATTACTGCCCAGGTAATAACTGAAGAGTGCCCTCCAGGCTGACTCGACGCGGGAAGCTGCAAGAACCCTCCCCCAGCTCGGTCTGAGGCCGGCATTCTAATGGTGGCCTCCAGAACTTTGCTGACACCATCTTCTGTGTCCCCGGCTGTCCCCAGAACCCTACCAGGGTGTGTATGAAACTGTGGGATATGCATGGTGCATCTTCCCAGATTTCAGCTTGGTTCAAAGGTTTGAGACAGGACTTGGGGTGGGGGGGAGTTCAGTAGTTTAACTGGTCATTAATTATGAGTGTTATTTTTATGTCAAAATGGTACAAAGATCCTCTGGAATAGATTTTAAAAACTCACACATGAATGATAAAATACAAGACCTCAAAAGACATCTGAATGCAGCAGGTAAGAAGGGCCTCCTCTCTCCCTGCACGGGAAATGTTCATCCTCCTCAGTCCTCAGGTGGGGAAAAGGGAGGAGACCCAATTTCAGCAGCCGGGGCTTCAGGCTGTGACCCATCTTCTCTTCCTGCCACCCCTCCAGGGGAGCAGAGAGAAACTGTCCTGCCCTGGGCTTGTAGTATTCCCAGTCCACCTTGCTGAAACCCCTTGTAATGGCTTTTTGTTGCTTTGGGAGAACCTGAAGTTGACCAGGGCCACAGGGCATCCTGTGTGTCTACAGCCTCATCTCCTATCGACCTGCTTCAGTTTCCCTCTGGAGTCCTGTCCTTGCTACCTCAGGGCCTTTGTCCCTGCTATTTTCACCTGTGGGAATGTTCCTCTCTGTGCCCACTTCTCCGTCATGGCTCAGCTCCCAGCTGAAATATCACTCCCCCGAGAAGCCTGGCCTCCCCCTTAGCCCCCCAGGGTGGGTCCCTCTTTTATAGGTCAGCCCAATGCTCTTCTCCTTCATTGCACTTTTCACATCATTAATTATGCATGCAAGCACAGAAACAATTACCTACATATCAGTAGTGTTCTTAGTTGGATAATGATCTCTCCCACCCAGTTCCAGTTAGGAAGGAGACATGCTGGTTTGGTGCCCTCTGTATCCCTAATACTCAGCTCAGCGTCTAGCACCTAGTAGGTGCTCAGAAAATACCTCTCGTGTGCTTATAGAATAAAGCCTGGAAATTCTCATCCCAAGCTGTCCAAATACCAGAGCTTCTGGCCGATAGCGACAGGGGGCATTTCAGGGAGATTCTTAAATGTTCTAAAAGTGAATGGAGGGGAACAATTATTCAGATGGTGACCACCTTAGCACTCAGCCTTGCCTTCTTCTCTCTCTCTCTCCCACCCCTCACTCCCCTGCCTTCATCCAACTGACTCCTTGTGGCCACCCAAGGCTCTGCCCCTGGTCCGGGCTGGGGCTCCTTACCTTTGGGCCTGCTGGCTGGAGGGGCCGATGCTCTCGGTGCAGAACTGAGGCACGGTCGGGGCGCAGACAGAAGGCAGCAGGACCCGCACAGCCCCGCTGGGCAGCGTCGGCAGCTCCGAGGAGGTGCTGACAAAGATGGTGACGTTCTCCATAGGGGCAATGGTCCCCAGGTTGACCACGAAGAGGATCCGCTCCAAATCCTCATCCAAAGCCACCTTCCCTGGTGTGCAGGAAGGAGGGATGACAGAAACCCCGTCTTGCAGAGTGTTCCCTAAGTGACAGGCCTGAAGTCAGCAGCTATGCATATATTATCTCTAGTTCCCTGTAACTGTGGTAGGTTTGCGAGCCCCTTTTGCTGATGGGAAAGCCCCGGCTTAGCGTGGGGATGCGACTTGCCCAAGTTACTCAGTAAATAAATTACTCATTGAACCCGAATCTGAACCCACAGGGGTCTGAGGCCAGGCCCCGTGTACTTTCTGCCGGGAGTGGCAGGCTGGGACCCACAAAACCCCGACAGAAGTCACGTGTCCGTTCCCAGACTCTGCTTCCCCTCAAAGAATCACATTTAAGCCCCCTCCCAGCTTTGGGGCAAGAGCTTTTGTTCAATTCTCTCTTGTTGTTTGAGAGGCCCATTCCCTCACCCCTCCTTAGCCAACGTCACCCAGCCACCAAGCCCTTCATGGAGACCTCCCTGGTCCCCACTCGGCCCCTCTCTCCCTCCTCCGACATTATCCAGACCTCTTCTGCCATAGCCACTCCCACCTCCTGTTGTGGTTACCCTGAAGCATGTCCTAGCCCTTCTTCCAGACTGTAAGCAGCTCTAACAACTTGAAGGCAATTTGGTATCTTACATGTGCTGGGTGCTCATTAAAAGATTCTCGAATGTCTTAATGATCAGATCACAGACCCAACGGTAAGACTCTCTTACGTCACATGATACTTGGTCTGAATTCAAATCCTGATGGTCACTAACGTGCTGTGTGACCTTGGGCCGGTCACCCACCCTCTCTGTGCTTCAGTATCCTCAATAGCAGGCCCAGTAGCCATGATTTGAGTCCTTACACTGTATCAGAGACTGTCATCTCTGCAACCATGTCTCTGTTGAGCTGTGGGGGTATACAATTACTAGTTCCATTTTACAGATGAAGTTTAATTTTTTATTTAAGCTCATAGCATTTGCAAGCAACAGGATGGGGAGTCAAGCCCTGGTATGATCATTCTACAGCCTCTGAGCTTAAGGGATGTGCTCTCTATAGAGATATAGAGGTGAGAGCAGGAACAAGGTTCAGAGAGGTTAAATGATAGGCCTGAGGTCACACAGGATTCCTGACTCCTGGTTTAGTGCTCTCTCTACCCTATCCCACTGCTGTCCTTCCAGTCTGCTCGAGACCCCAGCCAGGCCCGGGCCCCGCCTCAGCCCTCTGTCCTCCTCACCTGTGAGAGTTGTGGCTCGGAGGCGGGTGCCCTCAAAGTGGGCGCTGTCCATCTTGGCTTTGTCCTTGATCTGCACTGTCACGACACGGTCAGCAATGACCGCCTCAAAGCCAACCACCGTGGTATATTCATCCAGTGGGTACACGAAGAGGCCTGCAGGGGAAGGGCCCAGCATCACGGGGTGCCCCAACCGCACCCTGCACACCCCGCCCGAGGGAGGGAAGCCAAGCCTTTGACCTGCCAGATGGATGGACGGTACTCACTGCCACTTAGAAGATGCTGGGGGACTCCAGCTGGGAAGGGGGGGAGAGGGGGGTAAGTGCACCAGAAGCACTGTGGGAGCAGTGGGGCGGCTTGCAAAGGGACAGATCTTACTCCGCAGGCATGTGAGACCCATGTGGCCAGGCCGTCTGAGTTTTCAAGAGACAGTGGAAATCCGGTGGAAAATTGTTGTGTGTGCCAAGGAGCTGGGGCATCGGAGGAAACAGACTAAGGCTCTAATCCAGTCCAGGCCACCCCTCCAAGCCTGGTGACCTTCGATAAGACACTTGGCTTCTTGAAGCCTCACAGCCCCATCTATAAAATGGGGCCAAGAGAGCCAAACTCATGAGGTTGTCGCGAAACTGGAAAAAGTAGCCACCATGATTTAGCTGTGTGCCTCGTGTTTTTATACCTTAGTGCTTCTCAGACTCTAAGAGCACGTGAGTCACCTGGGTGGGGGGCCCACGAACCCTGGGACAGCACAGTGCCTGGCCCATGGTGAGCCCCCCATAGACCCCGGCTCCCATCCCTCTGAGCCTCAGCCTCCTCATCTCCAAAATGGGGAGACTGGTTCTCCCTGCATGAGGAAAGCCCAAAGACCCTCCCCACATTGGCCAGTCCTTTATCTCCTGGGCCCCTAGCAAGTTCCATTTTAAGTCGCCCCCTGGAGATTTTCCTAAACAGAGGACCAGGGTGATCTGCTCTGCCCAGGAGGTTTCTGAGGAAAAGTCAGTTTCCCTGCAGGTTCCTCTGGGGACCGAGAAGGTTGGGACAGAGGGTGGTACCCCAAGACATGAAGCCTGGGGATTAGGAGGCCCCCATCGCTGGGGACGAGGAGGAATCTTAGCCGTAACAAGCCTTTACACAGCCCCTCTTGGCCAGCCTTCCCGTGACCCCCTTCCCGAAGTGGGAAGGGAGGCGATGGATTGACAGACTTCTGCTGGCCAGGGTCCCGCACTCTCTCGACTGCCCCACACGGATGATTCATAGTCTCACACTGCTTTTCATTCCGCGTGGTCCTTCCTCATGCATTATCTCATCGGCTCCTCCTGCAAACCCTGGTGTCCAGACAGGCAGAAGAGCATCTCGACCTGGAGAAGGACAGTGGCTTCCCCAATGTCACAGAGGCAAGAGTGGGAGCTCCTGGTTCTCCGTAGAGTCTTGATGCCTCTCCTACTGGGAGGCTCCCTGAGAAAGTGGGGGGACCGGCCATTTGAGGCAGGTGGGCCTGCCTTGTGGGCTGAGCCCAAATCCTGACGTGATATGCTACTGGCCTTGAGGCCTGAGGGGCAGAACCGCCATGCCCATTTCACAGATGAGCAAACTGAGACTCCGAAAATGTACATAACTTGCCCTGTGTGGATCCTGTCAAGGTGAGGATTACCCACGGGGGAGGGGGCCCTGGGGAAGCCGCAACAGGGGTCCTCACCCTGGAAGGGCTGGGCTTCCAGGTTGCCATAGGTGAGGGAGGCAGTCAGCCCCAGGGCGTAACCACTGACGAAGGACGTGACGTCAGAGGCGGTGAGGGGCAGGGCTGCCCCTGTGATCTGGTTCAGCAGACCAGGCATCCCGCTGGCTACTCAGTCTTCAGGGCCTGCAAGAGACAGGAAGGGTGGGAAGTGGGGAGATGGGCCCCCCATCCCTTCCCAGCCCAGGCCACCACTTCCGCCCACACAGGCAGCCAGCATTCACGCCCTTCCCGGGGAGTGACTCCTGCTCACTCTCAACCATCCCCGAGAGAAATGGGAATTCCATTTCTGCCCATTTCACAGCAGAGAAACCGAGGCCTGAAGACGTGTGACCTGCCTGGGTTCACTCAGCGGGAGGGAGCAGAGTCAGGGCGAGAGCCCGAGCAGGTTCACGGCCAACCTGGAATTCTCCCCAGTGGGCAGTGCTCCCCGAACTCTGGACGGGAGTCCAGGGACTCGGGGTCTGACCCCATCCCTTTGTCAGCCCTTTAATCTCTGAGCTGTGGCTGCTTCCTCAGCAGAATGAGGGAACGGGGATGGCTCACCACATCCCTCCTTCTCTGAGCGCGTCTAGAATGAATCTACCCACCACTGCCAGGTTGTGAGGGGAGTGAGGAGTACCCCCAAAAGATACTCAGGTGAAAGGAGCCACCTGATTCCTCCAGGTGTGCAGGTCAAAAAGCTGGGAGTCATTCCTGGCACCACTTCTTTTTCACTCCTCCCGCCCATACCCAGTCCATGGCCAAGGCTTGTGATTTATCTCTGCAAATGCCCTGGCGCCTATCCATTCTCCGCCATGGACATCCTCATCCCAGGCACCACCGTGTCTATCTGGACTGTGGTTCCCAATTGGCCTCTTAAATCTGCCATCCCCCCCACTCCCATCCATTCTCTCCTCAGTGGCCAGGCCCCGATAGCAACGCACCAAGCAGAGAGGTCTCCATCCCCCGCCACCTGTTCCTGGGGTAGAGGCCGAAACCTTTAAGTGCCTGTGTGGTCTGGCCCAGCTGGCCTCTCCAGTGGGTTAGTCCCGCATCATCACACAGCCCTTGTTGGCTCTCCCAGCTTCCAGTCCATTCCTCAAACGTGTCTTGTGATCTCCCACCTTTGTCGTGCCATTCACCCCACCACCCCCTTTTAAACTAGTAGCTAGTAACCTCCTCCTTGTCCTTCAGTGTCAACCGAGGGTCACCCCGTGGGGAAGCCATGCTCCCCGGGCCCAGCATCCTCCCATTCTCCGTTCATCTGCCTCCCGCAGAGCCGAGTCTCTCCCTCAGAGCACCTCCATCCGTTTGTAGGGATGCAGTTTGTTGTGTGAGATTAGTTTGTGGCTGTCCGTCATCCCATTTACAGTGTGCACTCCCGGTTGTATCCTCAGTGCTGATGAAATGAATATGGGAGTGGATGACTGTCGTTGATCCCGAGTGATGGACCGAGCAGTTCTCAGGGCAGTGATGTGTCCATTGTCTCTTGGGCTCCCGAGACCCTCCCAGGTCATCGCTGTGCTTGAAGGGTGTGGTGGGAAGGGGAAGCGAAGTCAAAGGGTGGGGAATACAAATTTGAGGTTGGGTTCGCTCCAGATTTTCCTCCCTGTGGAGCGTGAGCCGGGCAAAGCTTCTGTGGGCTGGTAGCCTGTTGCTGTTATTTGCAAGGTTGTTCAATGTGTGCTTTTTACTCTGCTTTTTCTCAAAGAAGGGAAGTCATCCCCTCCAGGTCCTCCTTGTGCCCTGCTAGGATCCTCTGGTGCTCCCACGCTCTGTGCCTGGCAGTGTCTTTTTAATTATGTTCTCCCTTGGGGCTCCGGCCCAGACAGCTCCCAGCCCTGCCTTATCTGGGCAGGCTGACTGACAGCAGGAAGCAGATAAGGAGCCAGGAAGGGGCTGCTGTATCCTCAGCTGCCTTCTCTCAGGCGTGTTCTCTGTCCTGGTGGCTGAGCAAAGCCTAACTGCTCCCAGGGGGCAGAACAAGATGGCGGAGTTCATTTCCTGAGCCACCTTGGCTGCCACGCACACTCCCTCCCTCCCTCCTCCTCAGCCTGGGTCACTCCTGGCCGGAAGGCTGACTGAGGAATGCAGCTTCAGGGACCCAGCGCCCAGATGGTTGGCAAACTTGGCCTTTAGCTTCAGTCCATCCTGGGATGGAGTTTGGCCAAGGGGTATCTTCCCACACTGTCCCTGGGGCCCACCCCTTGGGCACCTTGCCCAGGAAGTGGGGAGGGGTCCTTGCCCAGGAAGTGGGGGATACCTTCCCTTCTTGGGAAGAGTAAACTTGAAATTCTTTGGAGACTAAACAGTGCGGCGTATTTTTCATCAATTCATCCAGCACCGATAAGCATTTATTGTATTCCAAGCCCTGAATTAACTACTGAGGATATGAAGATAAGACACAGCTCTGTCCTTAAGGAGATTACAAGCAATCTAGCAGCAGAGGAAGGGGAGTGCGGGAGGAATAGTAATGGTAACTGGAATCTATCGAACATCGAATGTGCTGGATGCATGTATCATTTCACTTAATCCTCACAACCACCTTATAAGGCGCATTACTGTTTTGTAGATGGAGACACTGAGGCCCAAAGAGAGATGCATTTGGCTTTGCACACGAGTTTGGGGGGTGGCGTGGAAGGACAGAGGGGTAAGTGGGTGCTTGTGTAGGGCTTTCCCCTGAAGCAGCCCAGGGCCAATCCTGTGAGAGGTAGAAACCAGAGCCAATGGTGCTGGGCTCCTCTCTCCAACCATCCTGGCTGGAGTAGCCTCTAGGTCTTAGGAAACACCCAGGTTATAGGAGGCTCCCGGGGTGACTGTTGAAACCAAGACTGTTCTTGATGGTCCAGAGCCTGTAAATCTCCAGCGATCCCTGTCCTTCGGGGAGCCCTCTCTGGAGCCAGACAAGCCTAGACATGAGCCCTGGTGCATAACTGACTGCTTCACTCCCCGACGTGGGTGCTCTTTAGTCCCTGGGTGCCAGCGCCCTTGTCTGCAAAACAGGGCGAGTGGAGGGGCCACTGGCTCCCACCTCACCAGCACCATGAAGATCACATCAAATAATGTATGGAAGGTACCCAGTACTTGCCTGGCACATACTAGGTGCTCAGTAAATATACAGTGAAATGAATGAATGAATGAATCATAACACCAGGCTGGTAGTTTCTGGGTTCCTCATTCGCCTGGCTGAGGGAGAGATGTTCTCTGACCACCAGGCCCAGGGCAGCTTCTCAGAGAAAATACTGATGCTAAATCCATCAGGCTGTCATATCAGTGTTTATGTCAAGGGTCCAAATACACCATCTCTGGCAGCACCAGGGTCCCACCATCTTCTAACAGACAGTCCGTTCACAGGGGATGCCTTGATTCTGTGTCCCTGAGCCAGCTTCTGGCCACCCCCCACCCCCCGAGCCTCCTGCTGTGCCTTCTGCGGCCACCACTCTGGAGTCAGTGGGCGTCCTGTATTCTGGGCCTCTGCTGGGGTTCTCTCGGAGTCCCTGTCCAAGACTGACTCCTTGTCACCGCTCAGAGTCGGGAGGTGGGACAGGTGTCTTCCTTGGTCTCAGCTGCTGCTCCAAGACCACCATTTTTTTTTTAACTGCCTATAAAACCCCTTCTCTGTGGTGCTTGCCATTCCCAAGGTCCCGGTTACACCCTTCTTGTAGCAAACACTTGGCACCTGGCTCCCGTCTTCCTCTGCTCCCCAAGCCCTGCCATCAGCCCGGTGACTTTAGCATCCATAGCGATGGTGCGTCCAACTCCCTGCACCTTTATCCCCTGCCCCCTGGCCCTCCGAAACCTTTGCTCCCACTCCAGCTCACTTGCCACTTGCACTCCCACGCCGTGAGCTTAGGACGCCACCCCCGAGTGCTCCATCTCCAAAACCGCTCACTCGGTCACGTAGGTCGCTCTAAAAATCACCAACTCTCAGCACCCCCGAGCCCTCTTCCCTTGATTTCTCCCAAGCACTTGTCATCATCTGGCATGCTGCATATTCTGGTTTGACGTGTCTCCCCAACTCTCCAGAATGTCATCCCCAATGAGGGCATGGGGGTGGTTTCAGTTCCTCCGCTGGATACCCACTACCGAGAGAATAATGCCTGTTCTAGTAGATGCTCCATAAATATTTCTTTTTGAAATGAATGAAACATCATTCCACGGGCTTTATCTATAAAGCTTGGCAACAGCCCTCTGGGGTAGGTACTCCTAGCATCCCTGTTTTATAGATGAAAACACCAAGCTCAGGGAGGTGAGGTAGGCTGTCCAAGGTCACACAGCCGGTAGCTCACGGGGCTGGGAGCTAGACCCAGGCAGAAGGACCACAGAGTCCATGGGCTTGCTTCATTGTGGGGCTGTGCTGCCTCCTGCTGAACCTGCCCCCCGAGCTGTGACATTTGTCTCCGGGCGCTCTCTTGACGTCCTCCTCGTCTCTCCATTTCCACCACTGCTTCTTCCTTACCCTCCCCTGGACCATTCCACCATCTCTGACTTGGTCCTTCAACTTCCAGGCTGCGTCCCTTCCAGTTCACTCTGTCACCTCAGGCACGCGCCCGCGCCCGCGTACACACACACACACACACACACGCACACACACTCCATCTTTACCCTGAGCATTATGGCTCCCCATTGCTCTTGTCTGTTGGGACAGGTTAAACCCTCAGTATGGCATTCAGGGCTCGTCCCCATTGGGTCTCCATCTCTGTCCACTTGTCACCTCCTACCACGTTCTGCATGGTCACTTTGTTCCAGACACCCTGACCTTCTCACTGTGCCCTGAACAGACCAGCTTCTTTCTCACCCTTGGGCCTTTTCCTGGGAGGATGGTCGCCTCCTTCTCTGCTTTTCAAAGTCCAGCTCAACCTTCAAGGTCCAGTTTCACTGTCCCCTCCTCTCTGAAACTCCCCATCCCCGACACTCCAGTCTGTCAGACACGCCCTCCCCTGGGGCTTCCACAGCCTCTGAGCACCTGTCTGTCATAACTGTCATCCGAAGCACTGTAACTGCTCCTTGGAGATGCTTGGCAACCCCGGGCGCTGCAAGAACGTGGGTGCCCCTCCTTCTGTGCCTGGGTCCCAGCTCCCTGCGCGGGGCTCCGTTCAGAGGAGGAACTCTAAATGG